AATCCCCACAATGCAACAGCTCTCTTCCCTGTGTCCTTCTTTCCTGTGCATTCCTGCCCTCTGAGCTGTCTCCCTGTGCAAATACTGCCCTTCTGATTTCCTGTGATTGATTGTTCTATGGACTATATCTTAGGTAGATTTTAAAAGTTGACTGTTTTTAGGAAGCATTTGTCTGCTGTATAACATTTCTTTCATTAGAAATAGAAAGTATGGTGGTGAAACCCAGCATCCTATCAAACAAAAGACTATAGTTTTTTTTTTTTTTTTTTAAAAAAACCTTCTTGAACCCTTTCAAAATGAAACATAAAAAGCTCAGAGAAACTCAAATATACTTAGTGATATATTTCTACATTAATAAAATAAAACACAATATGCTTTATAAATTAATCTCAAGTCTCAGCCATACACAGAAGAATAGAAAGCCTCAATTCTGTACCCACATAAGCAACAGTCTGTGGAAACTCTGGGAACCATGCCACTGGCCTCCAACCTAGCATAGCTGGGAAATGACACATTCTTTTAAGAAGCACTCATCCAGGAAATGAATGGGTCACAAAGCACACCAGTAAAAGGTCTGTAAACTTGTTTTATGAATGAAGAACGTAAGGTGTACTGGCTCAAAGCTGCTGCTCCTTGATGAGCATAATTTCTCAGTCATTCTTCAGTTTTTATCATAGTGACAGAAAAACGAAAGCAGGACTCTGGCAGGAAAAATAATCATGTTAACAACAAGAATATTGTTCCAGGCTATCTCATAACTTTGAAGAATCTATCTCCTCCTATGTTTATCCCCACTCCAAGATCAATCTTCCCATCTGCCACTCTCCACCAAAATAAAGAAATGATAGACAAGATAGCACAAACTCAAACTAATTGACTTTATTCACACTACCCAGGAAAAGCAATTACATTTTTACATAACATTAATAACACAAAGAATAACAGAAATCATAAGAGTAATATATTGGATAGAAACACAATACAGAAAATAAATGAAAATTTAAAATAGCATACTTTAATGATTAAATTTATACTATATTTTCTATTTATTTATAGCAGCATCTGTAAGATTTCCTTATTCATTTATTAACTAGTTAACTAGCAGCAAAATTTTTTAAGTTATACAAATTCAGTAAATGTTTCTCTCTACTATTTTGTTCATACGGAATTTGTTCTCACATTAACCAAACAAAACCACTTTTATTCCTGAAGAAAAAGGTAGGAAAGATTTCATTAGTTAGTCACTCCCTCGCCTCCCCCTGAAAAACAAGGGAGAAAAGAAACTGGGAAATATTTGCATGCAATGACACCCCCCCCCCCAAAAAAAAGCTCAAACACCTTGACCAATTGATTATGGGTGGATTTTGTGAAGTCTGCATGTGTATGAGTAGTAAAATGTACGAGTGAGTGAGTGTGTGTATTAGTGAATAAACAGTGTGTGAACTTTCTTTTCTGACTTTACACTGCAGTTGAAAAATATGTGGAAGTTTCCAGGAGGCCTGTCAGAGCCTGGAGAAGATATCGGTACGTATCCTGGTTATTTTAAATTGGCTTAAAAATGTTGAGGAAATTCAAGTGTTTACTTTATTACTTTATAATACCAAAGAATAAGGTTTTAAATTTTCTAATTGGTTCAGAGTGGATCAGATAAATTGCTTTAGGGCTGTATAAAACCTAGAAGCAAAATTTATAACATCATAACCGATCCATTAGTACGCTTTCTTCTGTTTAGGACTCCTTTTCAGTTAACTTGTTTGGAAATGAGCAGCTCTGGATATATATCAGTAAACTTAAGGGTTATTTTGGATATAACTAAAGTTATTGGTATAACCTATTACAGAAGATAAATTTCTAACCATTCAATCACAAAAGGATGAATTTAAAAAAAGAAAAAGTTACTGACAACTCCTACTCAAGAAAGAATAACTTTTAAATGAACTTTGAAAAAAAATTCTAAAATCAAACCCACATGGATTAAACTCTTGTCACTCATTTTTTCAATTGTAGAATAGTGGTAGCATAATTCTCTTGGTGAAAATTTTATCTGTTATTTCTTTTGAATAGTTAGGAAGGCAAAACACAGTATAATGTCACATGAAAAAGTCTCAAATGAGAAATAATCACCTAAAAGAATTTACTGAGTCGGGGGCCGACTCGACGGCACATAACAACAACAACATACTTAAGGAAGGTTGGGCAATCTACTTCTGTAGTGATACTGCCTCAGCAACCCAAGGAGGGGTCGCTATGAGTCAGTTCTGACGTGACAGCACATAACAACAACAACAACACATACTTAAAACAAGTAGATATGAAATAATCTAAGAATTCTTTGTCATTGTTTTTACAGGAAATATAAAGACCAAATTTTCCTATTCCTTAAACTATTAGATTACAGTCAGTTTCCATCAAAATAAATCAATAGATCATTCATTTGATACTGGTATTATTTCATTATAACCTGTTCGTCAATATGCCTGTTCCCATTCTCTTTAGCTAGCATTTCTATATGCAGTTTCCTACTTATCTTTAAATATTTTATTTAAAAATGTGTATATACTTAAAACTTGATTTTAAGAAATATTACATAGATCAAAACTCTAAAAACTCTGCATTATGATATATCCATAACAAATCTTTGTTTTAGGTACTTATTTAGTACTTTTTGACTTTTTGCTTAGATTCTGCCTAGGTCTTCTGTTACACAAGAGAGAATTCTGTAATGGTGCAATTGCTGAAAGAAAAGCCCATTTATTCTAGAACACCTGATTGTCTCACACCATCCTATGTGATATATGAGCACGTATGGACTAGTTAGCTTATCTTTTCCATCTTTAAGGGAGAAAGCTGTCCACATTGGGCAAAAGCACTCTGCAACGGAAGGTTTGTGTAGCTTCTTCTCCTGAATTTTACCTTCTTAAGTGGATTTTTTTCTTATTATATTTAAATTATGGATCCTCTGAATTTCAGACACACTTATATTTAAATCTAATTGAAGAAATACATTTCCAATCCAAATATATATAATTTTAAGTGGAAGTATATTCCAGAACCTTTAAGTCCAAATATTTAAAAATTCACTACTTTTTTTTTAAGTATATGTGGTTATTTGTCACAACACCCTACATATTCCAGAGATTATATATATATATGTATGTCTCAACCCTGTGGAATTAAGACAAAAGAATAGGCATCTGAGCAGCAAGTGGCATTTGCCATACTGCCCAGGGGTAGTATAAATTAAAGCTTGACCTTAGAATTCATAAAACCCTAAAAGCAGCTAGAAAATGATAATTGACAGTAGAAGTCTGAAAGACTATGTGTATCTGAAAGACATTTCTGTTTCATAACACTGTACAATAAATATTCTTCATGGTGAAGCCAAATCATCCAGAATTATTTAAATGATTTTCTTTAAGCCCTGTATATAGGAAAGTATATAATATGCATTAGGAGTATATCCATCACAAATGGCTAAATATTCATATTGGCTCTTAAGTAGTAAACATTAGTTACCTGGGAAATACATTTGCTTGAAATTCTTCATTCTTTGATAATATTAGGTAAATGAAGCATTATTGTCCATAGTGGTAAGGAAAAAAAAAAATTGGAGGGCCATGTACAAAATACAAAGTAATTCCCAAAGCTTTTGTATAACATAATACCTTAGGTGTACAGAGGGTATTTAAAGAATCAAGGTTAAAAATGGACAAGTTGCTACTGACAGGAAGAAAATTCACCTGCATTAGCCAAAGAACTACAAGGCAGCTGGTCTAGTCAGAGATCACTGGTGCAGGAGAAATCCAGGGAAACCAGGAAAACCCACATTTTGAAAAAGTTTTCCTATTATTTTATTTCAACCTTAATCCTATTATTAATCCCATTTTTAAATATTACAAAATAGAAGTAACAAATATAAGCTCCATTGTGTTATTGTTCCATACCTAAACAAAACACTACGACACATTTAAACTTATCTGTTAATCAGCAAAAATAAAAACAAAAACAGCTTGTTTTTTCTTATGTTGTTCATAGCTATAAAACAGTAAATGTTATTTCAGTTCAGCTTACAGTACATTAAAATAATAAAGGCATAACAAAATAAAGCACTTTTATCTTGATAAAATGTTTGAATTCATGTAAAAATCCTTGGAGAAGAAACGTGCACGTTGAACTGGAAAGGATCTCTCATACACTGGATATATATACTCTAATTTGCCTATTCAGTTTTCAGTCTAGTGAAATGCTGGTGAAATACTCATTCAAATTAAACTCAAAACTAACCCAGAAGCTCTGGTTTTCAATCAACTGCTATGGTGACTGCTAGTAGGGCAGGTTCACTTGCTAGCCCCATCCTGTACTTCCATGACACGAACATCCAAGACTTGTGAGGTAATGCTAACTCTTGATTAGTGGTACTAAGAGCTAAGCAGGAACCCCATGGTCATTTTTCAAAGAGTTTAAAGAAAAACATACAAACACTCAAATAATAATTGAGACTAACAAGTAACATAAAATTTAAGACTAGTGTCATAACCTTTAATAACCAATTTAATAACAAATATGTGTTATATACCATACTGAAAATTATTTTTCTTATTAAAGAAAGTTTTCCTTTTTTTAACCTAGAGTCTCATTTCATTTTTCAAAATGTGAATTTCTAACCATGTTTATGCTACGGGCAAATCTCAATTTTAAGAGAACTCAGTATAGAATTCAAAATGGGCAGATGAATGCCTTATATTATAGAACATTTTACTCTTCCCGTGCATCTTTCCAGAGAAATATATTAAGGGAAAAACTAAGACCTTATCCAGGGAACTGGTAAAATAATCTATAGGCACAGCACATGAGAATTGAGACATTATTCCTCAGCTCCCTCTTCCTTGCTTGTTCTCCACCAACAAGACTTCTAGAAGGCAAATATAATTTACTTTTTTTGACAAATAAGAAAAACAGAGGCATTAAAGAGTATTTGAAGAAAAACTCTGCCTGTAGCAGTTGTGATCCTTTCCAGCAAAGTGGGCAGAGAAGGTTGTAAACTCTTCTCCTAAATGCTTTGAGAGACAATAACAGAGAATCACAGTACTTGGGAAGGCCCATGTAGGAAGTTCCTCTGGACATTTAGAAAAAGCAACCACAAAAAATGCCTGAAAGGCAATGAAAATACTGCCCCAGAAATTTACATATAATTGGAAAAAAAAAAACAACCCTTATAAAATATGAAAATGTGTTGCATTATAAAATTCTATATATTGCAAGGGAGCTCTGGTAGCATAGTGGCTAAG